CAGCACCGACCAATGAACCGAATCTTCCCTCATCATCATTTTCTTTAGTGCTATTGGAAACTGTTTGAGTTCACTTCAGACTTAGCTGAAGTTTTGAGAGCAGCTGAGGGTTGGAGGCAGTAGCAGACTTCAAGTTAACTTGTACTGTCCCCATGTCTTGGGTATGCTCATGGTTCTTATCCAAGAGAGTGCACAGAAAGCTTGTAGGAAATTGAACCTCCCAAAGGAAGCGTGTAGGGCTTGTGTGCAATGGGACTGGACAAAAGTGTGCAACCATTGTAATGACCTGAGGTTGCAAGATAATAATGGGGAGCACTCAACTGATCTCTGTGAACGAAGCTAACTCCAAGCTGGACCAACTGCTGAAACCACAACACCTGAGACACCAAAACTTGGCCAGCTTCACTTTTGCACCTTGTCTGTTGCAAGATTTTCATCCTGCAAACCTTGCTGAGATGCAAAGCAGGAAGAGCCTCTGCCAGGCACTTTGGTGCTCTGGCCCTCGGAGTTGCTGTCTCCTGGCTTTTGGCTTCTGGCACAGCTTGAATTTACTCCTGAGCAGACCTCATGTCTCTGACTTGAGTTTATCCAGCTGTTATCAACAAATGTGCTTCCTTGGTGACTCATGCTCTGTTCCCTAACCACATCCCCTTCCCTCTCATGCCCCCACCCACCACAACTGAGTCACTTGGACTCCTGTCACAAGGCAGGAACCTCTTTCTTCAGTCATGCATGTAGAAATCTCTTGCTAAGTCTAACGTAAGCATCTTCCTTTTTCAGTGCAGGCTACAGAGAGCTTGCTGGCCTTTTGTGGGCTGATCCTGACCTGCCCACGTTCATTCTGCTCTTCCTAGTCCAGATATAGCCAAAACCTATTGCTCCCTATTCATGCAAAGGTTCTTTCAGGACACTGAGCAGTCTGTCCTGCAAAGGCCTCTTACCCTTTCAGATCCAAAACCTCTCCCACCTTCCAGCTCTTCCGTAGCCCTTAGGAAGCGACTTCGTGGCTGTGTTCCAAGACCACAGTCCGGTAGCTGAAGAGCAGCTCAGTCTATTTCCCACCAAAACTAATTTTTTACCAGCTTCACTTCCCAAGTGCCATTTTTATGCACTGTATGAAATGCAGCCACAGCTAGCTTGCTTTGAAGGTATGCCATGCAGCCAGAAGGGTTTGAGTCTGTGGTTAATAAGGCCAAGTTGCTATTCGAGCTGAGTGTGTACTGGATGCTATTTTCCTTACTCTTTTCTGTTTATGATCAGTTACTCCATCTATCATATTAAGCTTCTGCTAGATATTTTTCTTTGTCAACTGACAAACTTACAGGGTTTTAACCACCATCTTCTCTTTATGGCAAAGCTTGTTCATTTCTAACCTGAGGTAACTCACCGGGGGCTGAGATTATTATGAAGTGTAAACTTGTGGCAGAGAACCTGTATTCTTACTTTTTTCCCTGTAGATCATTACCTGGCTTGTTTCTCAGTTCATCATCTTCAATTAAATTGCACTTAGGTCTGCTCATAGAAGACATTTTAGCACGAAGATCATTGAAAACTGTGGTATACGTTTCCTTTTGCCCACTGATGAGGGAACTGCTGTTGGGAACCTTAATTTAGGGTTTCTATCTGTCTCTGGTTTAATTACATTGCTATAATGTTTCATCTTAACAGCATCTCTGTGGAGCAACACAGTGTAACTTTCCAGATAGAAACAGTCAAGATAAAAACATAAACTTGTCTCTATAGGAAAGTTGCAATGGCATAAAATGAGATGAATCCCGGGATGTATATACCTAAGAGACATGTGGAATTGGCATGGGGGGACATAGTTTAGTGATGCACCTCAGCAGGTCAAGTTGACAGTTGGACTTTGTGACCTTTGGAGGTCTTTTCCAACCTAGATGATTCTATCCTTCTATTTTTACATGGGTATCGCTGTGATAACTCTATTCCTGGGTGACTGATCTTGATTTTGAGTAAGGTGTACTGGCAACAACCAACTCTTAGGTGGTTTATTTGGAAAAGATACACAGTGTAGGGGCATTCCTGGGCTGATGAAAGCCAGATTAAGTGCTGGACCATCTGATTTAGTCATCCTTGGAGAGCAGACTTGGCTGCTGCCTATCCTGAGGTCAGACATGGTGGAGGAGGAAGATGGCTATCTTGTTGGCCATGATACCGATGACTAAAATGTAATGATACCCCCACACTTCTCTCTCAGACTGGAAGGGCTTACCAGATGTGTGACACGACATGAATACCTCCCCAGTGCTACCAGAAACCTTTATATTGACCTTCGTGCAGAAAAGGAAAGAAGAAATGCAGTGTTTCCTGCTGGAGGAAGATAGTGCTGTACTCTTCCCAAAAGCAGTTGTTTAACTCCAGAAACTGCTTAAGATGAAAAAGGAGTGGGATGTTCCAAATTTTTTGGAGACGTGATGGTGATGCGGTTGTAGGAAACTAACCATCGCTCAGAAATGCCTTTTGTTTTACTGGTGATTTTTTTTTTCTTTCTCTCTCGACAGCTTCCCTTATGTAATTATAAGGGCAGTGCAGGCTCAAAAGGCATGGCTTGATTGCAGCAATCACTGTGCAGCATTCAGCACAGGTTCTGAATGACTGAATGTGAGCTCAGGCCCATCTCATGCCTGCTGCAGGTGACTAGACTGTTTGCTGGCCTTCAGCAGTGAGCCTCACCTCACACCCAGCACGCAGGGAGGGATGCTTGGTCCCCATCACCAGCAGAGGACAATGCTCAGATGCAAACACCAAGTTCCACTAAGTGCCCTCAGACTTCCCTTTCTCCTCAAAAGCAGACACAGGGCAGCCCTTTGCTCTGGGCATGGTGAGCTGTGCTGGGAGGCCCATGCATGCCTGGAGCACAACTCTGTGAAAGCAAGGTGGGGGCAAGGATGAGCAGGAGCCTGCAAGGCAGGTCAGCATCCCATTTGCCTGCCCACCCCTTTCTTCCTTAAGGACAGGAAGAAAGCTGTTCAAAGCAAGGAGCAATGAAGTCCATCTGTGCCACGTCTGAGCTGGGAGTATTTTTGGTCACCTGGACCCAGCGGTGTGGCAACACCTGCAATGTTCAGTAGTGCTGGGAGGATTCACAGATGGGTTTGGGTGGAATGGCTCTGCTAGGAAAGGCAGAAGTGCTGCAACACATGTATGGCTGGAGGAAGCAGAAGCTGTTTTTGGGAACAGAACTTACTTTCAGGGTCAGTCTGGGGATTTTGAAGCTGAGAACTCCCTGCTGATGTTCTGCATCTGCTGGGTGTAACTGCACATGCAATTTCCCTGTAAAAAAAAAGAAAGAAGGAAGAATCTTTCCTGATGCTTTGCAGACCAAGTCAATGAGGCCTGGATTACAGGACATCACTAGATTCTTTCTTTACCTAGGATTGCCTACAAGAGAGTAAATATTTTGAGGTGATTTCCCACAGATGCACAGGGCAGGCCAGGCAGCAGCTTGGACTAAAAGGTTTGGGGAGATGCATGTCTGCCCATGTCTGCATCCTCCTGTCTCTGAGTTACCCTCCACTGCCAGGGAGGTCTGCCTTTGCAGTCAGCTCTGCAGTAGTAAAGCAGCTGTGCACCCATGTATTTGGTGTGTTTGCCTATTGGTGTTTGCCTTGGAGAAGCTGTACCTGGGGCTCTTCTCCTGCCCGGGGCTGTGACGATGGGCTGGGGAGACAGGCACCCACAAATGGGATCTCCACGTGGCCAGGATGCTTAGTGGGGTGTCAGGACTTCTCCCTCTGGGCTGTGAGTTCTTGCTGAAGCACTGGGGAGCAGAGCAGGATGCCTCCCAGCCTGCCTTTCTCCCTGCATCAGGACTTTGTGCATCCCAGACTCTCTCAGAGCTCCCTTACAAAGCTCCCTTTCACCATGGAGCATCCGGAAAATATAATGGGGCAGCAATTACTGGGGTGGGTGCAGGCTTGGCCCTAGGAGATACATGGCAGAGAGCCAATTATTGTTAATTAGGCATGTTGCTGTTAGCTAGCCCAGGCTCTTGCTGCTCGCTGTGCAGAAATTTGTTTGCACCAGTGGAGCTTTGTGGCTGACTGAGCCCTGAGAGGCTGCTGGGACTGAGTTCAGGTGTGCTTAGATCGGGGTCAGGCCAGAAAGGCTCCGATCAAAACCTCATGCTGGGCCAATCCCAGACAGATCTCAGAGCATGCTTAGCCTTCATGCTTCCCCCAGGAAGGGGATGAGGCCTCAGCCAGGGCAGCAGCAAGCAAAGCAGCTGGCGGCTGGGAGATCTGAGCACTGCAGTGGATGCGTGCTGAGATCCTCCTGAGCTGAAACTTCTGCACTGTCTGCTGGACCCCAAATAGACTGCTTTGTGGTTTCCATGCCCTGTCGTTTCTGCACAGAGCTAGGGAGCATGCAGGACAACCAGATTGACACAGTAAGATGAGGAGAGCCCTTTTCAACCACCAGAACAACATGTCTTTTGATTTGGCTCCGGTCTGGAGCAAAGCTGCATATCAAACCTGTTTTTCACTACAGATGGCTGCTTATCTATGACAGGGACTGCCATCAGGTCTCTGAAGGCACTGGGATTTCAGTGTGAGGGGAGCTGCCCAAAGAAATAAGATAAATAGGACAAACCAGGGGTGAAAGAACACCAAACTGCCCATCTGTTGCAGATCAGGAGCACGAGGGCCAGGTTGCCAGCCTGGGAAGCAGCCAGCCAGCCAGCCCTGTGGCCAGCTCGGGAAATGGCCATTACGTTAGGCAGCTCCACGCAGCTCTAATTAAATTATGGGATTAGAGCCATCTCATTCCTCACTCATCTGGTGCCAAGCGCTTGTTCCAAGGGAGTGCTCTCCATTAAAGGGAAAACTGCCCACATAGCACTCCGCACGATCTCATCAAGAGTCTGGGCTGCCACAGAGTCATCCCTCTGTCGCGCCGCATTGCAGACCGGCTGCTTGGAGCACTGTGACCACGTTTCACTGGGTGGCAGGCCAAAGCTCTCTGCTTCCTTGTTGCAGGAACCCCAAGCACTTCTTTGCTGGATTTTCTGAGCAGAGCTCCCCTCAGCACTTGCAGAAAGGAGAGAATGAGACACCTTGTCATTTTCCTAAAGAGAATTCATGTGTGACCTCCATCTCCCTCTCCACACTCTGCTACTTGCCTATGGGTTCTTCAGAAAGCTCAGAGTAGCCAGCGAAAGAGGAACTTCCAGGATGCACAACAGAGTTGCCTTGTATTTGCTTTTGTTGCACTTAATTCTTGGTTATGTACATTTCCTGCCAAAGGACAGACTTCTCGCTACGCTCTGCTTTGTGATTAAAGATTTGGGCAGTTTCTCAACTTACATTTTGGCACTGGTTTTCTTTTGTTGCTTTGCACAGATGTTGCCAGGGAGACCTGGCACTAAAGGAAGGGCTCTTCTCCTTTCTTCTCCTTTCTTCCACCACGCTCCCATGCAGCATGGCCCCAGTTATCATGATTTATCGCCACGCTTTGAGGAGTCAGGCAATCTGCAGCTCAGCGAAGCAAGACCCCTTGGCATGGCCCATGTGCAGGAAAGCAGGGGCTCTCCTACACACTGGTGCCTCTGTGCTTTCCAACTTATTAAGCATAAACACAGCCATAATTAAAGCTTATTCCTTTAACCAGTGTAGGTGATCAGGTCATGAAAACCTTGAGGATAGTGGGATGACGGACAGTAAACATGGCATGGATTGATGGAGTTTGAAGGGAGTAAAAGGTGTACAGAATCTGGTTGGTTTTTTTTGTTTTTGTTTTTCCAGTAATTCCTACAGAATTGGGTGGAAAAATACAGCTTTTATACAACTATACAGAATATTATAATTTTATTTTGAAGGTGGAGGGGATTCAACACCACTGGCTTGGTTTCTGTCCAGGTTGACTCCAAATGAGCTCTCTTATGGTCTTCTTTCTCAAGTTCCTGTGAATGTGCTGGGTTCACCAGCCAGATAGTGCCTCTCCTGTAGTGTCCTTCAGTCTGCCCCAAGCCCACTCTGGGGCTGCATGCGCAGCCAGAGATGGAGTTCTGGATGAGACAAGAAAGGGCACAGGACACTTCAAGAAGAAGTCCCAGAGGAAGCCTGGAGGTGGACACCAAATAGGAGCCACATAAACTGACACATTGGGAAATTCTCTTGTGATTTAGAGACAAGTGAAAACAAGCCAGGGCATCTAACTGGTGTTCTGGGTAAACTCAAGACAGCCCAAACAGCATGAGGGCGGTTATCCCTGCCTGCACCACCAAGGGAAAGCAGGCTGTCTGTGACACAGCACAAAGGGCATCAACATGGTGGTAGGGAACGTTAACAGGAGGACTGCATCTCTTTGTAAGATTTCTGCTACATTATTTGCTAACCCTTACTTCCTCAGGGGTTCCAATAGGAAGGCCCTTTGCTGCCACACAGAGCGCACAACCCAGCTGGAGAGAAAGACTTCAGGCTTCTTCCAGCAGTAGGAATTGGCTGTTTGCAAGCCACACACTAAATTTCTTATGCTCTTTGCAATGTGGCATTTTCTCCTGCTGCTGTCTGCACGTGGCCATTTTGGCTGGGTCACTGGAATACATAAAACTCTAGCTTCTTTTCCTTGTCCAGCACAGAACCCCACAAGAAGTCTGTTGCCAGAGCGTCCATAGCATGAATTTAACTTCAGCTGTCTCCTTTATTCAGTCGCTAAGCTGCATAATTGCTTTTGGAAAAGTCATTTTTCCTATCTTTTGCCCTTTCTTGGCTGGAGGCGTAGCATGTCTTAATTTTAACACACTAACTTCTCTCCTGGACAAGCTCTCAATCTCTTCTGTTTTTGCAGAGTTAGGTAAGGCAGTGAAAATCCTGCCTGAAATGAAGCATCTTCCCACAAATCGAGTTTGTTCTTCAAGGCACTCAAAGCTCAGTTGCACACAGCCCTGAGCAAAAGTCCTCGCTGGACCTGCTTTGAGCGGGGGCTTGGACCACTGCCCTCCAGAAGTCCTTTCAAACTAACTTACTCTATTGCTGTGATTCCAGTTTCCCACGGAGCCATTTTCCTCCTTTTTTTCCCCCTTACCCTGCTCAAGAACGACCCAACTCAGGGGAATCTGTTTGCTGCAGTTGCCCAGTGTGGGTGAGGGCATCCTCCCAGTGCTGCTGAGATCCCAATCGTGGCTGCAGCTCTTGTGTCTGAGCACAGTGAGCAGGAGGGGAGCCTTCAAGCTTCGGTGCCAGGACCAAATATTTACCCTCTGCACAGTATGTCACAGGCAATTAAGGTAGCTGAGCTGAAAGCAGAGTGATGAGAGAAGCTGTTTGCTTTTCCAACCGGACCAGCAAGTGCATATTAAATTATCTGTACTCCATATAATATTTAGCTATAAATCTTATTAACAGTAGTCTGCAGTAACGCAGATCTGAAGGAAGGGAAGTAAAAGGAAATTAAATGAGTTTGGAATAGTAAAGAAGGAAGGGGACAAACCCTGGCTGATAGCTCAGGAAACGATTTGCAGCTGACGGTTTTATAGGAAAGGTTTCAGCTCCATGAGGAAATCAACTGGAACAGCTCTGGCAGGATAGCTCTCCGCGTGCGAGCTCTTCTCACAGAATACCAATGACTTGAATCCAAAGCAAAGCTGCTTTGGAATAGAAGAAGCTATTTCAGGAGCTATCCCTGCACTACGACAGGAACACAGAGGGGAGGGAGCAAGGACCAGCCAACACTGCGCTTGCAGAAGAGGATAAATCTGAAGTCAGATATCCATGCCAGCTTGCCTTTGTGTCAGAATAGTTGACATCCGTTTGTTGCTTTGCTTTATTTCCCTTCCTACAATATAGGTACAGACTGCCATGAGTATAAAATACTCTTAGGGTGGAGAGGGGGGTATTTTGCTAACTTGCAAATCTGTGAGAATGAATCCAGATCAGTTCATGACTCATTTGGAAAGTGCCCTGTGGAGGGCACTGGACAGGGCTGGAAGCAAGAAGAAAGTGAAACCACTGTTTGCAGAGAGCTGTCAGTTCCACAAGCTGTCTGTGTCTGTGCAGGGGCTCTCCCAGGTATGACCTTTTGCTGATGCTTTGTGATATTACTGCTGGTAGCCAGAAACAATTAACTAGCAAATGGAGTGAGCACAAAGGCTAGTATGAAATACTGACTCACAGGAGGATGCCCACAGCCCTTCTGTTTCCCAGAGAAGAGCCTGGCTCTGGGTTTCATTCTCATTCCATGCACCAGTCCCTTGCTGCACTGCAGCACTTGTGAGTGCCATCCCTTCCAGTCACACCATTTCCTTCTTCAGGCTCAGATGATGTGAGAAATCACACCTCAGGCATGCTCTTTCCCAAGAGGTGTGGGAAGAAGGTTTTGCAGACAGCAAGGCAGCGCTCTGAGACATGTTTCCAGCTCCACACAATTGCTTCCCAATGATGCAGATTCCCCAGGCACCTTTGGTGCCATTGCCCCAGCAGCCTCAGAACTGCCCTTCCTGCACCTTCATCACCTCTCAGCTTGGCCATGGACTGTCTGTGCTTGCTTCAGGGGAAAACATGCAGGCCACAGTTTAATCTCCCCTAAAATAGGGAAAATGGGGATGCACAAATTGCTGCTTCAAGTGATGTTTTACCTGGGTTGAAGTACAACAGAGAGGTCCCATATCATCACCCCCTTTTTCCCCATCACACTTTCCAGCAGTCTGGTTTTGGAACCTGCAATGAGGGCCCTGTGCTGTCAGTGCTCAGCAGGTATTTCCCTCTCCATGGCCACATGGGTCTTCCCCTCCATGCTATGCAAAGAGGATTTCAAAAGCCTGCTTGCAGCTCCATCCCAGGCTTTGCAAGAGAATCGTCAAGGGCAATCCATTCTTGCCAGGAGAGTACCTGGACAAAGCAACAGCCAGGAGTACTTTAAATGAACCGAGAACATGCCTATATCCAACCCAGCCATCTGTTACATACAGGACCAAATATCAGCTCAGGGCACTGGAAGACACTGCCACATCAGTCCCTTTGATTCTGGTTATCAGCTGGTGAAAGGGCTGGTGGCAGGAGGAAAGCCAGGATCTAAAAGCTGTGATCCAAACCCTGCTCTGCTGCTTGTTTCTGGGTCACACACGCGGCCACACAGAGCTTATTTTTAGATTCTGGCTTAAGGATGGCTGAAATCTGATTGATTTATACCTGGGGAAGCTGCAGATCACAGCTGTTACGGCTTCAACTCTGGAGGAATTTAGGGATGCAGCAGGGAAGTCTATTTTGCTCTTGAGTTTTCTTTCCAGATATAGTGAAACATCAGCCTTACTTTATTAGCAACTGCTAGAAAATATTTCAGAAAGCTTTTCTTATCAGCATGCTGTTCCTTCCCGAGCCCTGCATCAGCCAGGTGTGCACATCGCCTGCAATGAAGCAAATCCAACCTGAAGTCTCCAAGATATCCCAGAATAAAGCTGGTGTGACCCTAGCTGGCTTTGTCTGGAAGCACAAAGGCATGAATGACAGCATGCACAGATAAATCTTGGTCGTATCTGTGCTCCTTGGGGATGGCAGCAGCTATGCTATTTCTCTGCCACGCTCTCCATTGCACTCCTGACGCAGCAGCCAAGCTCAATGGGTGCCAGGTGTTTCTTCTTTGGGTTGGATTTTCCAATATTGAGGGCTTGGGAATTAGTTCCCTGCCCTGAAAGCCACTGGGTCTGGGCAGAGGGCAAGTTAGGAAAACATCTTTTAAAGTGTTTTGTTGACATGTTTACCATGTTGTTGTTAAGCCTCAGGGAGCTGATACACAACTTAGAAACAGTTTCAGCTTTTTATGTTCGTCAAGGGCCACTCTGAGCAGGCACCTTCAGTGAGTTGATTTGAATTGACACTGACTTAGAGTGATTAAACCAACTGAAGTCTGGGGGAAGAGTGCCTGGGAGGATGATGGACTCACGCAGGGTAATTGTACCAGGGCAGCTCTCGTGCTGTGGTCATGAGGAGACAATTTGCCATGCTGTGTACGAGGGCAGTCCTCTGGGACCAAGCTTGCTATTGCATGCCTATTTCTCTGTGCTTAGTGAGAATCTGTGGGCTCCTGTTCCCAGGGTCTGGGAAAGACAACAAAGAAATACCAGTCTGTGCAGGTCATACTGCAACTGTATAACCACATCCTTCAGAAGAAGTCTGTGTCTCCTGTGCAAAGCTTCTTAGTGGTCTGAAGACAGAAAGTAAGCAGGCTTGCAGAGAGGATATGTTTAACAAGGCATTTGGAGGGAAGTTTCCCCAGCCACTCCAATGTTCATCCCATCCCAAGCTCCAGTGCCTCAAGATCAGAGCTTGCCTGGTGCTCAGAAGATCACTTTTGTGTCATGCTGATTTGAATTGGGATTATATGAGAAGTGGCTAAAATAGAGCCAGACTGGTATCGATGTCAGTCTGCTTTGGCCTGAGTTCTAGATCTGCAACCTGAATGCATGGAGGCAAGTGTTGCATTGCCAGTGTGATATGAAGATGGAGCACTGATCCAGAGGCAGGTAATACGTGGCTGGGAGCAAAGTTGAAGGCCTTCTGATACTGCACATTCCAAGTGTCGACTTTTCCGCTCATCAAAAACAGAAGCCAGCTTTGCAGTCTCAGAGCTTCAGGCAGTACAGATCTGCAAGCTGACCCAGAGCAGAGCAAGGAGAAAAAAGTACTGAATGGGGTGAGAACTGCCGCGTTCAAAATTACTGAGATATTTCAATACTGAATTGAAATATTTCCCAGGGACAGGGAAAAAAATCAAAGTGGAGTTGTTCCTCCCAACTTTGACCTGGCATTCAGCCATTGCATCTGTCCTAGGGGATTTTCCTGTTCCTCTGACCAGATCCTCATCTTTCTCAAAGAGGTCTTCTGCCCCAGAAGAGAAAAGTGCTCTTCTACAGATGTGGTGCTCAGGGACGTGATTTAGTGGAGGGTTTTTAGTAAGGGAGATGGGGTAGTATAGTTAGGTCATGGTTGGACTCGATGATCTTTAAGGTCTTTTCCAACCTGAGTGATTCTGTGATTCTGTTATTCCTCTTGCCTTTGCCATGGTTGCTTTCCTCTTGGCATCCTCTGAGTGTCCAAGAAGAACAGCTATGAGAGGGGTGGAGGGAAAGGAATATAAAGCCTGGCTGCACATGGCAGCTGTGGACACTTCAGAGCCACCACCACTCACATGGGTCTGAAAGGAAAGCTCTCAACGTGCTCTGCTTGCAGGGATGTTCAAAAAGGGGCAGGTGAAATAGTTTGGCATGCGGTCACATTGGCTTTTGAAGCCTTGGGCTTTGCTGGAGAACTCCCAGTGGACTTCATAGAGTGGGTTTGCAGAATGGACAGTGGGCACAGGCTGGAGGCCAAACATTTTTATTTTTCCTCTATTTTTATCCAGCTCTGAAGCCCCCTCCCAAGTCCTCGCACTGCTGCTTTGCGGGGTTTGTTTTGCCAGACTTTCACTGCTGCTATTCTGGGGTAGAAATGTGATAAAAGGGAAGAGGGAGGAAAGGTTTATTTTCCTTTTTTTTTTTTTCCTTAAAGCTAGAAAGGAGAAAATGGAAAATAGAAAATATGAAAATGTCCCAATTCTTTCAGAATTACTCCTTGGTGATATCCACTCTCAATTACAGATTTTGTGCATCAGCAAAAAAAAAAACTAAACTAAAAGCGTGTAGCTCCTGTAGCAATGGAGGGGCTTGGTCCACTCTGCCTGGGTTGCTGACCTAGATGCACAGGAAGAGTGTGGTCTGACTACAGCTGCTTTGAAAGACCCATTGTTCCTTAACGGTGATCATTTATGCTGACATAGACATTTTGTGTGTATCTGTCAACAGGGGAGGGGGAAATATTGAAATGGGTAATAAAGGAGATGAAAACAATCCATGCTGCTCTCTCGGTAATAACCAGCTGACATTAAGCTTAAGCCCAGCCGATTACGGTTAATAATAAATGATCATTAATTAAAGCTAAATTACAGGGGGAGGTGCAGGCTTGGCTCTTGAGCCAATTAGAGCCCTGTAATTCATAATGGACAGAATCTATCCAGACAGTGAATAAAGGCTAGCAAAGTCAACAGCAAGGCTGTGTAATGGTTAAAATGCTGCACCGATAGGGAAGAGGCCAAAAAAGGTTGAATGGGCCAGACATCTCGCTTGGTCTGTATTATGCCAGCAAGATATGCTGCAGTGTGAGTGTGCGTGTGTGTGTGTGCACGTAAGGGCCCAGTGCTGAGCACAGCCTGGCTCCAGAACACTTTGGGATCAACCCCAAAAGGAGGTACGGACAAGATGGATGGAGGATGGTCTGATTATTAATTGGGTGGTCCCATATGGGACCAGGAGTTGGACTTGATGATCCTCATGCATCCCTTCCAACTTATAGTATTCAATGGCTCTATGATTCTACGATATTCATTCACTGTGAGCCCTTCATGGTGCCAGCTTGAGGGCAAAGGTTCTAGGAAAGTTGGTTGGATCTCCAGAAAGAGGGCAAGAGGCAACAAAGAGCAAGCAAGGTGTTGATAGCTATGTTCCAATGCATCCACTGCATCTCAGAAGAAGTTGTGAACCTTACTGATTTTTACTTTGGCATTTACACAAAGGGATAAGACAGGGTTACCTTGGGGATGTCTTCCACCCAGACTCACCATTCAGCTCCCAGTCACAGGCACACCGTCTGGAGTCCAGCACAAAGCCAGGAGATGGAGCCAAGTCAAAATAGTCTTGAGGGCTCAGGAATCATAACTGTGCAAATGCGGTTTTAATCAGAGCTGAAGGCTCACACTTACACTCCTCCACTCTCCCTGGTCCACTTGGGGTCCATTGTGCAGCAATGTCACCTCAGAGAGTTTGCACCACAGTGTTGTGCAGGACTCACGTTGTGCCTGAAGCAGAGGGAGATGATGACAGCTGCTTGCTTCGCTTTCAGAAGCCAAACTGAAGCTGGCACAAGCTTGGACCTGATTCTGATGTGTCATGTGTGCGAGGACGGAGAGTCAGAGGAGACATTCATGCTCATTGACGTGATTGTTGGCAAGGGAGAGGCTGTTCACTGAGAGATGAGAATGTGATCCAGAAAGGGGCTGCCAGTGGAGCAGAACGTGCCACCACCTCTGGCAGTATCAGTGGTGCTGATAAAGCAGGGAAGACAGGGTACATTCATTGGAAGTATTAGGGATAAGCAGGTGAGTTACAGAGGCACCCAGACAGCTGCAGAGTACGTGAAGCTAAATAATTCCCATTGTAATTCAGTCTTCTGCCAAAAGTCTGGGAACCAAATCCACTGCTCAGACTCTGAGAAGGAGATGGAAGCCCCTCTGCTTGCATGAGTGGCACTCAGGGAACCTTGCTCACCCTCAGTTTGCTCAAAGTGCTGGAATTGCTACCACTTCGTGTAACTCTGATGGATTTGGAGAGCAATAGCAACTTCAAGCAAACCAAGAGCCCCAAGGTGTTTGCGCACATCAGCACAGCGACAATCAGGCGTGGATCCTGGGGACAAAATATTCCTTGTTAAACTTCCTGGTGGTACAGAGAAGACTTAGAGTACCCGAAGGCCCCCAGACTGCCAACTATGAGGAAAAATAAAACATTTTGAAAGCTTGGTGTGTTTAAGGCACACTCAGACCTTCAGATGTGTCTGCCGAATTATCTTCAAATAACGTGTAGCATCAGTGATGCTCTGAAAGCGTTGTTCTGGTCCAAAGAAATTCCACCCGCCTGTTTTCTGCCTATTTCTTCTGTGTCTTACCTGCACAGCAACTGATCCAGATGTGCTAGACTAAATCAAACTGAATGTTCCCATTTAGGAATAAATACAGGTTCTGTTTCTAGTTTAATACCGTGAAGAAAAAGCCTTCTTGCATTTTGGTTCGACACTGCGAGCATCCACGCAGGTAATTCGGAAAGATGCTCTAGTTCAGACTTGCATGCTGTGTAATTACCACCAGGTGCAGAGCAATCGCTGTGGCACCATGGTGTGAGCTGCAGGATGGCTGACACAGCTGAGGTGTCGGGGCTTGCTGGCCCAGATAAATGCCAGCTCGTGCCAGCACTGGGTATGGGGTGGTAGGAGGCAGGGAAGAGGAGCTGGCAAAGCTTGGTTTCCTTTGCACAGCTTTGTCAGAAGCAGGCAGTTACTGACTTAGGGCAAGATTTCCTAAATTGCACTGCTCGTGTTTTCTGGGCCAGCATGTGCATGTACTTGCGTGCAGAACAGCCATGGATGGAGGGTTCCAGGTCTACAACGCACAGCGTGCCAGTAGCTGTGGTTGTCTTAAGAAGAAGCAAGAGGGAACCTGATCCTGCAGCCAGCCAAACAGCAGTGCAATCAAAAAGAATGAGCTGAGCCTGGAAATATTTTCATCATCATTTTCCAAACAAATCTGTTTTTGCAGAGACTTGATTTTTCCCATTTTTCTGGGCTCCGGATCCGAGCGCACAGACAGCAAGAGCAATTTTTGGGGTATTCACAATGGCCGAACCTACCCCACTGCTCCCACGTTGGATCAGCATCTTTGGCACCACTCCTGATGGGAATGCCTGATGCAGCATTGAAGGCCCTGTTCTGATACAAATTTCCTTCTAACTGTAGCTTCTAAAGACTTCTATCCAATAATAAGGTATTTCTTTCCCTTCCTCATCTCCACAGGTTATTCTGGAAAATCAATTCTCAAGATGCTGTGGCAGGAAGAATAAAAACAGCCAAACACAATTACTTCCAAGCACCTACAGTGAAGAGACAATGAAGCCCGTAGGAGGAAACAGAGGGAATCCCTATACAAAAGAAGGAAATTTGGGAAGAATGACTAATCTAAGCGAGAAAATTAGATGCTGTGTTGTTAGCAAGACAAAAGTGTCTCAAAATGTCAAGCTGATGTCTCTGTCCTGTGCAGAGTGCCAGGACGTAACACTGCAGTACTGGAACTTACTGGTGGAGCAGGAGGTTGGGATCTCACAAGGTTTTCAGGGACAGGCTCTGAGAAGCCCACCATCTGAGCACTGAGCGGCGCGGGGTGACATTTGAAAATGCATCTAAAATGCTAGCTTGCAAACTGCTTAAAACTGAATGCTGTCAAGCTGATTTAGAAGGATGACCCAATTTGATCTTCCAGTGCTGGAAGCTGTTGCTTTTGGCAAAAAGTGTGATGACTGAGACAGAGCTGGCTGGCTTAGGCTCCTGAGCTCTGCTGTGGGTGTCTGTTGTGCAACATGTGTGCAAGAAATGCCTCTCAGAGACAACAAAGAGCACACACCAAGAAAATATGTTTCTAATCCATTTTGACCCTTTCCATCCTGTGTTATCAGAGCTGCTCTCCTTTCCCAGGGCTCTGCCCTCAGGAATTCCTGGGGAAGGGAGATGCAGGCATTCTGCTTTGGCTGTAGCCATTAGCTACTAAGATTATGCTGGGGTACATTTTGACCTTTTAGTGAATGTGGGCTCATACTTTAGAGATGCCTTGAATACAGCACTCACAGGGTTTTGGAGAAGTGAGAGAAAAGATAAGAGAATAAGGAGGAGCTGAATACCAGATAAGGCCCAGAAAATCCCTCAATATCAGTTTTACCTAGAATAAAAGACCTGGCACCATTGCTTGAGGTATGGATGAGGAGAGACTAAAAATAAGCCACTGAGGTTTTTGTGACCCGTGTTTTTTTTCTTGTGAAATGTGAATTCCACAAATTCTTAAGAACACCCCCCCTCCCCACAGCCTATGTATGACTTCACAGCTTTTAAAAGCAGGGCTTTGGAGGTTCAGTGTGTATCACACTCCTGATCACAGGCCCTGGAGGACTGGTGGAGGTACGGACACCTCCCCATGGCCTTACACAGCACTGGTGACCCACTATGCTGCTACCAGCTTTGTCACTGCCAGCTCCTTCCCTTAGCACTTTTCCCATGCACACTGCTGGTCTGAATCCATTTCACCCAAAGCTTGCTGTGATTGCCTCCGGGTTGAACTCAGTCGCTTCAACAGAGCCCTACAGCACAAGTCAACAGTCTCAGACCTGGTCACCCTGCCATACGTTGTCCTGTGACACATTCAAAGACCTCAGCAGCCCTGGGATCCATAAGGCAGGGCTGTTGCACAGTATGTGAAAACTCAAGGCAGGTCCTGACAGGCTCTGTGGCTTCAATTCAGTGATGGATGGATGTGTGCCATACCCCATGGCAGGGGTTATCTAGAGCATTTAGGTTATTCTTGGCATCCGCTTTATCTCAGTATTCAGTGCCCGGCCCCTCTGGGATCCCAGATAGTGGAAAACTGGCAGATAGTTTCACCCCCACAGCTTTGACACTTCAGTTTTTAGCCATCCTTTTCTCTTGACCAAATTGGCATACCTTGGTTAATTTCACCGTATTCACCCTGAAGTGGTATAAAATGTTCACTTCTTTGGTCCCCTGGATTATCACAGCAAAGTGCTCACAGTGCTCAGGATGTTTTGTTTAACCTCTTGCAAAAGCTCAGAGCGGCATGTTTGTGATACCCATTCCTCTCTCTTCCATTTCACACATCCTAAAGCCATTTCCCTTGCGGCTGTGCAAGGCTGGTAGGCTTAAGGAGGTGCGACTCTTCAGGCTTTTACAAGTAGAAGCCCTTGTGAGTAAGGTCAGCAGCCTCAAAGGGAGATGTTATCTCTTTTCAGACAGAAAGAGATGCTTCCCAAAGGGATGGATGCCCCCTTCCCAACCAAAGGTCCTGCAGATGCACAAAGGCTGTCCAGGTCCTCATGGATTTTGCCACCGTGGTTGGAATTTTTGCTATCTGGTAAGAAGTGATTCATGCTTGGGGCCGTCTTTGTGGCAGGGGTTTTTGTAACAGCATTTTCCTAGGTATGGTAAGAACTGAGTGAGTGATGAGTTCTTCCCTCACTCAGGATATTTATAGTGGCTTTCTTTCTTCTCAGGCGAGTCACCTATTTTCGCAAAGCTTGTAGGCGCTTTATGTCAGCAAGATTTCAACTCCTCTGCCAAAGCTAGGGGAGATCGGCCAAAGGGTTCTAAGGTTTCTTGGAGTGGGGTTGCTGGATTGGCTGTGATACCCCTTAAACCACGCTGCACAAGCCTTGCATCTTAAGAGACATAGCTAAGAGCCATGAGTCTATATATTTCAGCCTTTATTTTTGGAGGTACCTAGGGTTGCATTTTCCATCTGTTTCTCCACAGCTGAGCTGGCTAACATTTTGTTTCTCAGTTTGCACTGGAGCTGGGTTCTCAGCATTTTTGCTATGGAGATTGGAATCAGTAGCATCTCTTCCTGAGTACATCAGCTCTGACCATACCAGGTGGGATGAGACCCACAGCATCTGCTGTGAGTTTATTATAGCTCTGCTTGTTTACACAGAATGGATGTAGACCGGCATGTATTTAACTTCACCAAGGGCCTATTCTGGATAACCAAGTATAGTTGCCTATTTTTCTGTCACAAAAACATGCATCTGAATTCATGTTTTCACCTGGAGGGCTCAAGAAAGGGGGAGAGCAGGCCGACCTGACCAGATGAGTTGTCAAGATGTCCATCTGTCTCCCCTAAGCCACAGTTTTGTAGGCTTACACACAGAACTGGAGCTGCAGGAATGAATGCTTGCACAATGCAGATTCAAGCCTGGGGGAGGTTTCCTGTCTAAACAGGGAAAAAAAAAAAAAAAAAAAAAAAAAAAAGTTTAAAAAATATTTTCTATGTATTTGTAACTTTGTTTTTTTTTCTGTGCTCTGCAATATGAAAAAGATGGTAAGGTCTTTGAATGCACTGAGTTTGTCTAGTTGGAAGTAGACAAGGCTGAGAGACAACCCTAGGTTAATGCTCCTGTGCCACCTCCCTCTGGGAAGGCTGTGTTGCACCATCCTCCAGCAGCTCTGCACACTTGTGCCCCCCTCCTTTTCCCACAACCTGATTTATTGACATTTTCTTTCCCTTTTACTTGCTTTGCTGCACCTGATTTCAGTGACCTCCAGTCCCTGCATAGCTTGCATTCCTCTGGGGAGGGGTGCAGGCTGGCAGGAAGGGCTTTCTCCTTCCCTGAGCCAGTCCAGATGAGCTCAGTGATGCTGGAAGCCAGCCCTATGCTTTCTGTGCCCCAAGTACTTGTCCTGGGAGAAGGCCAAGTTGCTGGAGGATGCAGCGGGTCTCCAGGGAGTGTGAGAGCTAATGTTGCACAGGGTAGGCAAAGACACAGTGGTTTACCTCTGCCCTAAGAAGATGCTACTGCTCCTGTCCAGCTGTGTCCTGCACACCTTGAAACCCCATCTCTCTTTGATGCTGTACCCCCTGGGGCTGGACCATGTGCTAGGGATAGGGAGAGGGTATTTCTCTCCAATCAAGGCAGTTATCTTTGTTTTGATGCCTAGCCAGGCCTTCTCTTTCCTCTTCCAGCTCCTGTTTAGGAGCTGAAGAAGCAGAAGGGGTTGCTGAATGTGGGGATCACACCATACAAAGTGTGAGCCAAGGCTATCAGTCAGAGCCCTTTGATTTCCCACCAAAATCAGGATTCCTGAATCTACACAGCCCTCAGGCAGCAGATAACAGGGGGCTGGTGTTTGTCCTGAAGTGCTGACAGGGGTTGTGCTCATTAATGTGTATTGGCACCTATAGCCCGGGCAGAAGCCTTCTTCCACCCTTCCCAATAGGGCAGTGGCTCCTCAGAACAAGCCACATATAGCCATAGCCCTGCACACAGCCCTGCTGTGGCTGTGGCTGAGCCAGAGAGACAGCATGGGCATTCAGTGTGGATGCTCACTCTCCAGCTCACAGGGAATGAGGCCTGCCGGGGATGGTGCCCAAGGCCCTGCCATCAAGGGTAGACCTTAGCAGTGGAATCAGGCTCACGAGCAGGGCTGTGAGAGGAGGCTGGGCTACCCCTCTGCTCCAAGCAGTGAGTTGTACCTGCTCTGGGAGGCCTTTGGCTGCTCGTGGCACTGGAACCAAAGAGCCACGACCATGTGTTAAAGCTCATTGACTGAGGAATCATCCAGGCATTGCTGCTGGCTGGAGTTTGAGCTCACAGTCGTCAGACCTGAACATGTCCATGAATGCTGGGGCACTTCATAGCTCACGTCAAATTACTCCTCTTTTACCAAGCTGATGTCTGATGTCTTTAAAAAAAAAAAAAAAAAAAGCAGTCTGTTACCAGACCCACTTCTAAGATGGATTTCCAACCAGCCTCTTACCCTCTGTTTTAAGGTCATCTGAGGGCTTGGACTCCTTTTTTCCTTGGAAAAGGAGAACAAGTTACCTGCAGCTGTGATGTCTGATTCTCCAGTATTAACTTGGCTTTTCTGGAGTTTCCTGGCTCTCCTTCTCATCCTATGGACAGCCACAGTTACTTATTATAGGCACAATCCTGTGATGCATTTCTGCATTTGGAAGCAAGGTGATTCAGAATAGGGACCAGACTTGAGCTTTGTGAGTGCTGAGATTTTGTTTTGCTGTGGGTGGAAAACCCCAGCCCTCAGGGCTCTGGTCACTGCAGCCTTCCTCTATTTTCTCCACGTGACTTCGCTCTCCGTACTCACGTATGACATGAGGAAAGCTTTCACATGCAACTTCTGCAGAAATGACTGTTAAAAGGGAGAAAACCAATCCCAACAGGCAGAATTAACCTCCCAGAGATTTACAGCCTCCCACATCCTCCAGCCAGACGGCCTAATCCATGCTGACTGCAGGAACGCTTTGTGCCAGGGACCAGAAGCAACTTGCCACATCCAAAGGGATGCAGACGCTTTCAGAGTGCTGGGATGCCACATCTCCACACAACACGTGAGCGCAGATGGACGGCTTGCAGAACAGCTAGGAGGTTCAGTGTTTCTGTAAAGATAACGCTGTGACTGCTCCAAGAGTGTGCAGGCAGAAGAGGCTTCTTTAAATGCTCGTATTTAAAAATAAAAATAGAAGGAAAAAAAAAGAAATAAAAACAAATCCAACGAGCCAGGCTGTTTCAAAATCCGGAGACTGGCACGAAACTCACAGGTTGCTTTCATTTAACGCTAAGCACCAGCTCCTTTTCATCTGCAATCTCAGCTCCTCTTTCCTTCTGATGTCGCAGAGAGGTGGGGCCTTTTGGGGAAAAGCTCCCCCAGGATGCAGAGCTTTTGCTTAACCACCAAATATCACCAAGTTCCAGGTAGAACAACCTAGAGTGGCAATAATGTGGATGAGCTGGAATCGCTCATAAGGGGAGGGAAGCAGCAGACTGCTGTGAAAGCAAGGGATTGCTGCACAGAACTGGGTTGGATTCATGCACAGTCACGTCAGTTTCTCGTGGCCAAGGATATATGAATTCTCTGCACTGCCCAGAAAACAGCACCCTGCGTCAGCACTGCGTTGTACCCGCTGTACTTCTGGGAAGTTTTTGCTCCATGAATCAACCTTCAGGGCTTTACAGGAGAGGATCTTGCTGGAGGTGTTAAAACAGGAACGGAGCACGAAGTGCTTGAAACGCTGGAAATTACATCTGAAGATTTAGATTTTAGCTTACATTTAGATTACCTTAAATATTCGGATTTGAAGTCACTGGCAGCCAGGTTGTGAGACGATCCAGTCTACGTGACTGATACGCAGTGATAATTGATTGCAAACTGCATTGCTAGACCTTTTCACTACGCGTAATTATATATCAGCACGTACCCTCAAGAGATTAATTACTGCCTGATGTGCTTTTGGAGCAGAGGTAAGCTCAGGGAGGCCCACCTCTCCCTCCCCCAACCTTGCATTTTCCTAGGAAGGAGCTTTGTTTGTAATAGGGGGTGTTTGAGTCAATATTAGCAGAATACCATCTTCTGAGCATTGTGTCTGCATACAGCTGTGCAACAGGTGTGGCACACACACACACTCACACTCACACACATCCCCTGCTAGATCCTCACCTCCCTCCTGCCCATGTGCAGATACAGAGGTGGTGAGAAGGGAGAGGAGCAGGGGAGAAAGGCTGGGATGGAAACTGTCACCTTTCCCAGATGGTTTCTACCTTTGTTTTCTTCTAATAGAGCAAATTTATTGGGATAGGAGAACCACCAGACTGATTCAGACATGCCTCTATTTTGGATCACAGAATCATAGCATTGTTAGGTTTGGAAAAGACCTGTGAGATCATCTAGTGCAACCATGCTGGCGCAACAACCCTTGTGAATGGAATTAAACACCTCCCAGCTCCTGTTGGCTGTCCTGCTGCCCCAAAGCAAGACCTTGCACCATCAGGTCAAAAACTGGAAAATGAGAAACCCTGGAGCATTTCAGCAGAAGCTCCACAAGCTTTGGCTAGTCAAGAGGTAGACAACAAGGGAGAGCTTTGAGGTCAGACCTGCAAGGGATGGGATTTAAATGATCTGCTGACTCCATTGCAGTTTATATGTGTCCAGAGCTTGTTCATGAGCAATTAATGTGGTTGTCTTAAGCAGAGCCGTGGAGAGCACAATTAAGTAATTAATAGTAATTAAAGGCACATTATCCATGTTGTCCATGTTGTCCATGTTTATCCTGCAGAGTCCTCCACTAGTGACTGTCCTACACCTAGGGCAGAAGTCAAGGTGACCAGTGTGAGACCCTCCCCACCCTCCTTCAATCAGTTAAGGCTTAACCCGTAAGAGTCTTAGTTGTTTTTGCCACTCATCTGAGATTGCCTTAAGGGGAAATTTCAAGCAGGAGCAGTACATCAGCCCCACTCCCACCCGACCCGATCTGAGCACACCTCTGCTAAGGACAGATGTTGAGGACTGGGAGGAGAAAAAGCCTTGTGGCCTTGTGTTTTGGTCTTTTTTTGTTTTTCCAAACGATCCAATCGACAGCAAAGTCGGAACAAGGGAATTAAAAACAACGTGTGGATGAATATCTCCTGATATTTCATATATTAAACCTATTGAAATGGCCCTTTTTTGTTTTTTTCACAAGCTATGTATTTACCCTTGCTAGGACTCCTCAAAAAACATGTCAGGGCTTCTGGCTTATGCCAGCACAGTGAGTTTCTTGGAATGACTCACTGCATTTGCAAGGTTTGGGTTTGGACTGGAAGGTAGATTTCCACACTGGTTCTGGAGACTTGCCTACAGGGAAAAGCTACTCCAGGGTATGCAAGGGTGCCAGGGAATACAGATCTATGGTTAACTGGAAGTGAAAAGTATTCCCCTCAGTTAGCAATTGCATCCACAGTGGACTGCATTAAAGCAGAAAAGGAGGTTCTGCTTACTACAAGCAGACTAGTCCAAGGAAGGTCCCCACACAAGTCAGACTACCTGGGACAATCAGGAATTGCTATTTGAGTTCAGCATCACCTCAGGAACAGTGCTGAGGAGAACGAAAGACAAACTGCTTTCTCCTCATGCGCTCTCTCATTATTATCTGCACATAAATTATTCACATTCTTTGCAAGCTGAGTCCTGTCTTGACTGAAGGAGTTCAGATCATTAGAACCCAACAATTTTCTGCATATTTCATGATAAAAGAAGCTCCATCAGGACAGGAGATGGGGAGCAGGGGAGGGTAAAGGGATAGGATTTCTTCTGCTGCAGTTTCCATTCCTGAGATTGCCATACCAGAGACTCCTGGATACTCAGCCAGAAAAAGGCAATGGCATGGAAAGGATGGAAGCACATTCGTTTTTGGACAGAGAGGAAGGAGGAGAACCAGGTGGTTTGCAAGGACTTCCATTACCTTGCAAACATTTTGGATGTGGCACTGAAAGCCATGGGTTAGTGGAGGACTGGGTAGTGTCAGGTGATGGTTGGACTCGGTGACCTTGGGGGTCATTTTCAACCTAAATATTTTTGTGATTCTATGACATTTCTCCTAGCCCCCAGGCCTTCTCCCAGGCTATCCTTTATCCAGGGCTAAGCCAAATTTAGCATAAAACGAGCCAGTAAAGCTCTGTTCTTCCTAGCTAGAGCATCCTCAGAGGTTACAAACCTTCAGACCGCAGTGATAAACCTCCAGCAGAGCCCTCATTCCTCAGAGCAGCCCCTTTGGTGACCTCCCAACAGGTTTATGGCCTCATGCTCCACTGCCCCCTTCAAACACATTGTCACATCAGCATCTTGCTGTCTGCAATCAAGCTCCAGTTTTCACCCATTACATCCTAGCAATTACTACAGACACAAAGCAGACAAGCTGAAAAGAAATGCTGATGTTAAGGTTCAGTAAAACAGTTTTTCTCCTCTACCTTCTTTGCTCTAATTGAGTATTACAGGGAGGGGGAGGGAGGAAGGGGCCCCAGATGAGTTATTTGTCCTGCACGAGGTTTTGTGGCCGTGTGGAGGTGAGTCATCATGGAAATATTTCATCCCTTTCCAGCCTGGACTTACTCTTTCCATCACACCCTTGTGATGAAAAGAAGATGGGCAGCACCTTCAGAGAGGCTGGTCTGCGAAGGAAGACAGATGGGTTCCGTGCCAGAAGCTGCAGCAACAATGGAAAGGGATGGGGTTAACCTACCCTTGCCCCATTCCTAGGCTGAGATGCTCTGAGGCTGCTGTAAATCTCACAAGAAATGCAGCAATCCCATGGCTGGGCTGAGCCCCAGGAGACAGCCCCTCCTCTCCTTTCATCTTCCTTGTGCTGAGGTTTGCAAAGAGAACGTCAGCAAGATCTCCATCTCTCTGAGACCACCAGATGCAACCTCTTGGCCATGTGCTGGAAACAGACCTGTGCAGCTGCACTGTGAAGGTCATTTCTCCTGCAGTCACTAGCTACAGAGGCTGAATGGGGAGCAACCAGTGCACGTGACAAGAATGGTGTGAGGGTGGGTTATCATTTTTCCAGTTTTCCCCACAACCCATTGTCATCTGGGCATCGACTGTGCTCTAACAAAGTCCCCTTTCTAAGTAAGTTGATTTGTAAGTCTGGCTAGGAAATAGCACAGTCCATCCTGGGAGGACGCAGTGGGCAAGCAAACATTTTGAAGTCACAGCACTGCCATTCCTCCTCCTCCTGCCTTTGGAGATTTGAAATGGGCAGCAGAAGCTGGAGGATGGGGAAGTTGCCAAAGAGTTGAAAGGGTCCCCTTGTTAGAAGGGGTAGAGAGGGCAAGCAACAAGGGAGGGGGCTTTCCAAGAGCTGTTTAAACATTAGCCAGCCCAACAATTGCCCTGTGTTTGCATTTCCCGTTGCCGCAGTTTTTTTCACCTCTGTGCTCTCTCAAACCCACAGCAGAGCTGAACAAGCACAGATCACCCAGCCAAACACAAACTGGGAATGTTGTATTCAGTGTCACGAGCCAGAGACGCAGAATGGGACAGGAGCACTTGCACCAATGGGGCTGGCATAGCAGAAAAGGTTGGAGGGGGGGCTGCAGCTGCTGGGAGCAGATTTGAGCTCACAAAGGGGAGTGGGGGAAATCTGGATCCCCTGGCTCCTCCAGCCCTGCAGATGTGTCCAGGGCATAGCTGGTATAGCACTGTGCTGGCAACGGGAGCCTCTGTGCCATCCTCTCTGACACACAGCACTTGGAGCTGACCCCTGTCCCTGCAGTTGCAGGGCAGCCACGGCTCTAAAATGGGTTATTAACTGTCCTCTTGCAGTCATAACTCGGAGTGTATGGCTGAAGGGTTTCAGAGAGCCACTGCTCATTAAGTCAGTGTGGCATGGAGATGCTGAGGCTGAATGGAGGCACTGAAGTAGCCCTGCCACGTGCAAGCAGGAATAACTGCAGCAATCTCCTACTGAACCTAGCACCATTCAAACCCTTTTTCTGATGTATCAGAGCTAATCCTGTGAATTCAGCATCTTTAAGATGGAGATCCAAGCATGCCAACACCATTCTGTAGCCTTAGGAATACGAAAAATGCTAGCAACCCTCTTATACGTGTGAAGCGGTCTGGGGCATCTGAAAGAATGTGACCAGGATTAGGAGTCCCAGATCTCATCACAAACATCCTGAAGTAGTCTGCAAGCAGGATGACACTCTTCTGTGAAGTGCTTTGTGTCCTGCAGACCTGACTCACACCAGCAACTTCTGCTGCTCAGAAAAAAAGTGCACGTGATTTGAGGGTAATTCTCATTGAAGATGAATGAGAACAAGCAAACACAACAGTTTGTAGCCTATTTAAAAGAGATAGTCATCCACATGCTGCCCAAATCTTGAGCAAAAGCACCTGGTGCTGTGCAAAGAAATAGCTCTCTGCATTGCACTGTGCTTCAGGGATTCTGTGCTCTAGGAATTACTTTAACCAAGATGATCCCTTTAAAGATACTTGCTTGGGAGCAAATCCCATTTGAAATAAAGCAGAGGGATTTAGCATAACAAAGCAAATTGGGGAGAGAGGATCTGTTCAGTCAGAAGGCAGGGCACAGGCAGAACTACAGAAGAGGGGCTGCAGGGCTCTTGGGAGCTTGTGTTTGAGCAAAGCCTCAAAGATGCAATATCCTTTGCAGTTTCTTGCACTTCAAATGGTAAAAGGCTGCAGGTCTCTCTTACCTGCTTAGTGCTGGCAGAGATCTGGTGCAGCTGGTGTTGTACATGGTTTTCTTCATGCAGGGATATCATCCCTTGCACTGCCTGGTGTTCCAGGCTCTAGACACCATGAGAGTCCCAACACGTTGGGCTGGGGACCCCAGCTCAGCACTGCTCAGTTTACCTGAGCTCAGGGAGATGATGTGGCAGCATAAATCATGGCCAGCTCCAGAGCACAGTGAGGTCAGATTGCTCCTTGTGAAACAGTTTCATGACAGCTGGCCCAAACATACCAATACCCTGCTGGTAAAAGCACTCTCCAACCAGAAGTAGCTGTGGCTTGCAGGAGGATGTCTGCCCTTGCAGCTCAAGGCACAAGGAGCTTTGCTGGCAAGAGGACGCAACCCCCTGCTTGCAGCCCTGAGGGCAGGTCTGATGGCACAGTAACATGCAAAGTCACAGCCTCTCCAAACCTCCAGCTTCCTGGCTGTTCCCCGGTCTGTACCACCAGACACCACACCGCTGGAAACAACGTGGGCAGCAGAGATGAGCCCAGAGCAAACCTCTCCAAGTGCTCCGAGCCCATCAAATCGAACTGCCACCGGTTTGACTCGTTTCCTCACCAGATGCAACGTCATCATTAAAACCCGAAAATTTAAAAAATCAGTTACCACCCGCTCTAGCTTTCACCTCTGAAATGTCACCCAAGTTTCCTGTGTCAGCAGCCACCCGGGAGCAGCAGCATCCTGTCCTGGTGCTTTAACCCCTACAGGCCCGGCTCTGCCACTGCATTGCACATCACTTAGAAAAGCTTCGGCCACATCCATCAAACGTCACAGCCAGGGAAGGCAGCAGCCACATGCACAGGGAAGCAACTGTAAAACACAGCACTAGTAAAGAGAAAGAAGCAGAGGAACACGTTTTGTTTTGGGTTTTGTTTTTTTTTTTTATCAGGCCCTTTCACTGTATAAATAATTTATTTCAGTTCACAGCATTATGTCTGCATTTTTTAGAAAAAGAGGAAAGACAGGAAGGACAGAGACTGGTGGTCAGCGGCAGGGCTGAGACATGGGCAGTGGGATTTCAGACACTGTTGGGAACACGGCAAGGTACCCCACGAAACCACAGCGGTACCCCCAAAACGTCTGCTAAAAAAAAAAAGGGTCATTCCAACGTATTCAGAGAAGACACAACCCGGCAAAAGGCTCAGAGCAACAACACAGGCAATTTCCTTCAACTGTCATTTTGTTGAAGCACCTCTTCCAGCCCACCTTAGGCGACACTCATTGTCATTCAGGAAAATCAGCACACAGTTGTGAAACGTTAGGGTAATGCCACAGAAGCCATTAGCAACTAATTGGAGAAGTGATTTTAATTATTGCAGAAAGCAGAACTGGTGGGAATGGCACCATGACAGCGTCCCACCTGAGCTTTCAGGTCTTGAGCCTTGAGGCAGGCACTGTAAGGTGAGCACATGCCTAAAGGCCAGCTGGAAGGCAGATGCTTCTCAATGGGGTTGCTCAGCAGAGCGCGGTCCCTGGGAAGGACCGAGCTCAGCAGACACACACCTCATAACTTCAGTGCTGGTGTCTGCAGAACCAAGACCCACCTCTTGCCAGCGAGGAGGCAAAGCACACAGCTAACACCTGCTCTGTTTCAAACCTGCTCGCTTTTGAGACAGTGGGAAAAAGGAGTTCTTTACTTCACCAATGAAGGTTAAAGCATTTGGCTTCCGTGGCATCAAAAAATAAATACTGTTTTCTTTCCCAGCACCAAGTACCAAAGTATTCGGGGTGAAGACTGAGCAAAGCAAACCTAAGGAAGCAGGAACAGAGCCTCCTGAAGGGATGGGACCAGCCCACTCGCTCAACGCACAAGTCAGGACTCGTAGGGACTCAAACCCTGCAAAAGAAGGGCCACGCTGCCCGGCTGCAGCGTTTGCTTTTCCAACGAAACGCTGCGAAAGGTACCGTGCTCATCCGCTCGTGGCTGCAAGGGGAGAATCAACTCCCTGAAACCCGAGGGCATTTTTTCTTTGTCTGCTCGGTGGTTTCCTTGGCTGCTTTGGGGAGGGTTTTCTAACAGTAAAACCACTGCAGAATCCTGCCCAACTGCGGCTTGAAATTCAGCACGTTCGGCCCTGAGGGCTGCCTGGGCCTCCCCCATTCTTTCAGTGGGAAGCGCGGGAAGCGGGGCCCCTGCCTTTGTCCTGCAGGGCGACGGTTCCAGGCTGGAGCGCTCCCACCCTGCTACCAAACCTCCACCTGCAGAAGGAAACCACGGGGCCTGCCCCTGCCCCGAGCACTCAGCCCTCCAGGAAACCAGGAACGAACCTGCTGGCAACTGGGGGCTCTCTGCTTTCAGTGGGTTTAAATCTTGATAAAAAAATAACCTCCCTTCTGCCCCATGCTTCCCACCCCCCTCTCCCAACTCTTTACATTTTCCCGGCGCTGCCGAGTCCCTTTTCCTGCTGGATTTTGCAACCTTCTGGCAGGACTGGGCAAGCTCTGCCCATTGCACCGCGCAGTGCTGGCAGCCGCCCGTCCTGCCTTCTGCTGCCACAGACCCCCCGCCCCACCCGGCCCCCCGCCGCGCAGAGCAGCACGGGGACCAATCCACGCGGTGGTGTACAAAGCTTTTGTTTTTTTTTTTTTCCTTTTTCAAAGTAATCCGTATTTTGGATCACCCCGATCGGAGCAGATTAGCACCCTGGAGCATGCCTTTGCCTGGGCACGATAAAGACCTCCTGTGGCTTTGCTGCAGGAGATGCCACAACCAAGCTTTAGAAAACAGGGGCTCCTGGACCCCGTGCCGCTTCCCCCCTCCCTCCTCCTTTTTCTTTTTTTTTTTTTTTTAAGCAAACAGCTTAAAGCTCAGCACCAGTCACCAGCTGATATGCACCTCCAGCTGCTCCGGCATTGCATGAAAGCTGTCTGTCCTCTTCATCCACTTCCTAAAACACCAGCCTGCAGAAGGGCTGTGTTGTCCTTTTGGAGGGGTATTTGTCCTCTTGGCCAGGCTCTGTCCTTCTTTTTGTCCTTTTGGCCACATTCTGCCCCCTTCAGAGGGTTTCGTCCCCTTCGCAGGGTTCTGTCACCATGCTGGGGTTCTGTCCCGGCGGTCACGTTTCATCCCTCGGTCGTCTCCCCCACACTGTGCTGCTCCAAGCCTCCGTTGGCTGACCTTGCACAGCTGTAGCCTCACCTTTGGCCTCTCTCAAATGCACAGGGTCCTGCCCTGTTCACCCCTAGGTTTGACCCCCAGCAGCAGTCAGACCCCCAGGCACGGAGGAGAGCTGGGGGGCTGCCCCAGCTCCGTGGGCTCTCGGCCGCCCGCGGCGTCTCGCCCCGCTCAGAGCATCTCCAGCCCGGCCATGGGGCTCAGGGGTTTGGGAGCAGTGCCCTACCCCTGCTCCATGCTGCCCTATGGCCGGGGATAGGGCGGCGGGCAAAGGGGAGAGCAGGAGGAGGAGATCCTGCAGTCAGGATCTGGGCTTGGCTTGCAGGAGTGGCATTGTTATCACCGCTATTGTAGTCGTTTCAATCGGAAAGGGACAAAAAAATTAAAAAATAAAAAAAAAAAACACACACACCGGAATAAAAAGGGGAAGAAAAAAAAACCAACAAAAAAAAACCCATCAACCAACAAAAAAAGGATCGCTTTGGTTCTCTCTCCTCCTCTGTTCCTTTGTTTGCTCTCCCAGCCGTCCGCACATCTGCGGGCTTCTACCGTTTCTTCTTCTGCTTAAGGGACTTCCTCCGCTTGAGGATCATCTCGTAGAGCTTGTCCATGCCCTCGGTCAGCCCCTCGCCGATGATGGCGCAGGCCGGCTGGATGTGGTAGGTGGTGGAAGGGGTCAGCTCGTGCAGCGCCAGCTGCTTCTCGATCTCGGCCACGGGCAGCGACTTGGGCAGGTCCTGCTTGTTGGCGATGACCAGCAGCGGCGTGCCCTGGTTCTCGGCGAACTTGGTCACCTTATGCAGCTCCGTCTTGGCTTCTTCCAGCCGGTCCACGTCCACCGAGTCCACCACGTAGATGATGCCGTCGGTGCAGCGGCTGTAGGACTTCCAGAGCGGGCGCAGCTTCTCCTGGCCGCCCACGTCCCAGAAGTGGCAGCTGATGCCCTTGGCCGTGCCGTTGCTCAGACGGATCTTCTCCGTGTTGAAGCCGATGGTGGGCACGGTGTTGACGAACTCGTTGAACTTCAGCCGGTAAAGCACCGTGGTCTTCCCGGCCGAATCCAGGCCCAGCATGACGATGTGCAGGGACTGAAAGGCGGAGATGTTGGAGGAGATGTTCCCCATGGCCGCCCCCGGCTCCGCCGCCCTCACAGCCCCGCACCCATCCCCGCGCCGGCCCGGCCCGCCTCGGCTCGGTTCGTCCCGGCTCGGCCCCTGACGGAGCGGCGGGCAGCGACGCTCCCACGCCGCGCCGGGGCTCGGGGACTGCCGGCCGCCCCGCCCGGGAGGAGGGACCGCGCCGCCGCCACTTCCCTCCTCCTCCTCCTCCTTCCCGCCTTCCCACCGCCTCATGGCGGCACGCCCCTCGCGCGCGGTCCCGGGGCAGCCCCCGGGCGTGGGGCCGGGCTGCGAGCGCCGGCTGGGGAAGGGCGGATGCTGAGGTGCTGCCGTCACGGTGACCTCCCAGCGATCCCCACCGCACAGCCGCCCCAGCTCCGAGACCTTTTGTGCTTTATAAACGCCCTCTCTCCGTGTTTTGGCCCCCGAGGGTCCCACACTCTGCCCCGCTCCTCGCTCTGGCAGTTGCTTTTGCTATCGCTCCCAAGAACAGAGGCAGAGCTGCTCCTGCACTGTTATCCACCTCCTCCTTCAGAGCGTCGGTAAAATGACAATCCACCACATCTGACAGCTTAACCGGAAAGCCCCGGAGAAAGAAGTATACCGCAGGAGACGGATACTGCTTTTAATATAAGATGCTCTTCCCATGCAGCGTGCAGTGGGGATTGTCGGGATGGAGTGGGATCGTTTCTCATCTTCATATTTCATTCTGTGGATGCGTGTTTGCTGCTTTACGGGGAGATAAGACTACCTGCTAACACATGCAGTCATTAAAAATACAGGCAGCTTGCTGTGACACTGCGGAGGTGACAGCAGGTGCAGTTTTTGTGGAGAACACCAGGTGGTGACGATGTGAGAAGCGCAGGGAGCTCCGTGAGCACAGTGTGCAGGAGGAACGTGGCTTGACCCAGCATCACCGCTCACAAGGCAGGGCACAGGCACAGGGCTGGCTGGAAAATCAAACAGCCATAGGATCATAAAGGTTGGAAAAGACCTCTCAGATCATCCAGTCCAACCCCAGCCCACCCAACCACGCCCACTGCCCACGTCCTTCAGTGCCACATCCCCAATGTTACGGAACCCTCCAGGAATGGTGATTTCACCACCTCCATGGGCAGCCGTGCCACTGCATCACCGCTCTTTCTGAGCACAGAATCACAGAATGGCCAGGATTGGAAGGGATCTCAAGCATCATGGATCACCAACCCTCCTGCCACATGCAGGGCCACCAACCTCCCCATTTAACACTAGACCAGGCTGCCCAGGGCCCCATCCAACCTGGGCTTGAACACCTCTAGGGACAGGGCACACACAGTCTCTCTGGGCAGCCTGTTCCAGCACCTCCCCACTCTCTCTGCAAAGAACTTGGAGCACTTGGAAGCCCTTTTCCCTCCTATCACTTCTCATGCAGAAGCCAAAGCTTCCCCTCCCTTCCTCCTCTTTCACCCCTGCTGCTGAAGATGGCTTTGAGCCTCCAGTTGAAAGGCTTCCTTTTTGAAAGAGGCCACCAAAATCTCTTACTGAAGTGGAAGGGAAAGGTGCCCCTCCTATTTTCACCCCAGCATTGATTGCGAGTTATAAATAAAGTCGAGATTAGATAGACAGCCTGATCAAACCTAGGGGATGTTCTAAAAAATGGCCTTATATCAAATGATCCCAAGGGGACAGAGATAAACAGGAGCATTGCAGTGGTGAATTATGCTGCAGCTAATGCCAGCTATCCATAAATAAGCTGTTAAAACCTCTGCTGAATATTAAGTGCAGGAATAACAGCGTTAATCGCAGTGAGGGGAGTATGCCAAGTCAATTCAGTGGCAAATTTAGGGAGAGGAAACCCATCTTTTCCATAAGCTCTCCCCTCCCCTACTTTCCTTCGGGCGGGCGGGGGGGGGAGGTGGGGGGGGGGGGGGGGGGGGGTGCGGGGGGGGCGGTGGGGGGTGCACTTAATATTCAGCAGAG